TTTTTTTTTTTTAAGAAAATAACAGGGTGCTGGATATTCTCCATTTATGGCTGTTATTCATTCTCCACCCTGCTCTGTGGCCTGGGAGGATGACCTTCATAGACTACATCCCCTCTTGCTGGGTTTGGCCAATGAGAGTCAAATGGGCGGCGCTCCCAGAAGACTGGTGAACTAGAGGCAAAAGTGGTCAGGAATTAGAATCCCCCGGCTGCCTCACAGATGGGCTGTGGTTCAGCAGCTGCTGTGTCCCCCAACTAAAACCACCATAGTGTGGTCTTCTATAGCCTTAGACCTTGCCAGAATCTAGTACCAGCCCCTTCCTCTGTCCTTGGAGTAGTGGTAGCTGCCCCCTGTTGCTACCCTTGCCTGGGTACTTCATTATCCCTTGACCTTGCCTACACCTTGGTAAATAGTCTTTTATTAAACTTCTTTTCCTACTGGGACCTTGAATGGTACAAAAAATAATACAAAAGTCGGGAACTCACATATATGAAATTTTGTATGACATAAATAACAGAAGACATGTTATATAATAGGTGTATATTAGGATGCTTTGAAGAAATATTTTAAATCTTGGCAATGTTAGTCAATATCAAAGTTCGCAGACTTGGCCTCCTTGCCCTCTTACTGGGTTTAAAAAAACATACCTGTACATCAATCTTCCTCTTTCTCTTGCATTCATTCTTCCCCATTCACCATTTTCAAAGGCATCTTTGGCTGCTGCTACTGCTTTATCAACATCCACCAAAGAAGCATAGGATACTTTGCATATTGTCTATTTCAAGATGAGTAAAAATAGGCTAAAGGTTATTTTATAGTGAGATATATGAATATGCTTCTTCGAATTAATATTATATTATAAAATCCAGAGAATGTTATGATGGAAACCCAATACATCCAGTAATAGAGTAACAAAAAAAGGAGACCCCCAAAACAATTTTAACATGAAAATTGTGAGCCTGAAATTTGGTATTTCTCATGTCACACTACATTATGGAAAGACTCATTTAGGACAACTATAACTATTTCTTCTAGTGCCTTAGGGAAGTTGAGTTTCTTGCCACGGAGCTTGCAAAGTTTGAAAAATTTCCCCACAGCTTTATTGTGTAGGTGTGCCTCTGATGTGTATATGTATCTGTCTAAATTCATCATAAATATTCATTCTATAAAATAGGCTACGGTAGTTAACAGCAGCCAGGACCGGAACTGAATAGTTGAAAAGAATGCAGGAAGTACATTTATAGGAAGTGCTCAGAGGCAGAGTGCTAGAATAAAGTAACTTCTTGAGACTGTCTGTCCGACAACTGTGTATAAACTAAAAATCCACGACCAGTGGTCACTATGCCCACTGAGCGATTACTCACAGAGCCGTCTGTTGGGTTGATAGTGTCGTAAGTCTTTCCATCTTCAGCATCTGTGAACTGTCCATTTATGAAACACTGATATGGCATATTTACTGTCATTGCATTGACCTCCTTGGAAACCTAAGAGAGAGTTATAGTAATAGATTCAATGGATTTCTGTGCTTACCCATTTGATACTGACTAGCAATGAAGAAGCTATTCCCTAGTGCAGAGGGAGAAGTTAAGTCAGTGGGATTCTAGTTCCTACTTTCCGAAGAGACAAATATATGTGAGATCTGGGCCTCATGATGTTCAGGCTGGCGACTGAGGCAGGAGGTTGGCATCTGTGATGATGGAAGTGCTTGAGGCTGGGCTTTATAAGATCTGATTTTTTTCCTTAGACAGATCAAGAAACATTAACACAAAAGACCTCCAGATAATGGAAACACTACCATCTAGTGGCAACACCTATGGAGTGCAGCCATTGCTTTTATTTAAGCCTTGAAATTGCCTTTATCAATAGGTTTCCTTTTACACTGGTGCCGTTTTGAGTTTTCTTTCCTGATGTTCCTCCTCATTTCCACTCTCTCTCTCTTACATGTGTTGCCTACATTGCACTCTCCACAATTAGCTAATAAGTGCTGAAAGAAAAGACTGTCAACCAAAAATTCAATTTACAGCAAAAAATACCCTCCAAGAACAAATGAGAAATTAAGTCATTCCCAAATGAACAAAAACCGAGAGAATTCATTGCTATCACATTACCCTTGAAAGTACTAATAGTTGTTCTTTGGGCTGAAATGATAGCACACAAGACAGTAACTTAAATCTACATGAAGAAATAAAGAACACTGATAAAGGTAAATACAAAAGTCAGAATAAATGTAAAAAATGACTGCATGAAGCAGTAATTATAAAACGATGTTGGTGACTTTATAATGTAAAAAGTTGTAATTTGCATGACAATAGTAGCAAAAATGAAGATTAGGGAGCAGAGTATGTTGCAGCAAAGTTTTTCTATACTGTTGGTATTAAGTTGGAATTAATCTGAATAGGGAAGTTTTAAGCAAAAATGTCCATTGTAATCCTCGAGGCAACTACTAAGAAAATAATAAAAAAATATATAGTAAAAGTAACAGTAAGGGATTAAACGGGCACACTAGACAATATCCTTTTAATGCAAAAGGAAGCAGTAAACACAGAATAGAGAAAAAAAGGCATAAGACAAGACATATAGAAGCACAAGTGACAAAAGAACAAATAGATAAATTAGGCTTAATCAAATTTTAAAACTTTTGTGTGTCAAAGGACACTATCAAAAGAGTAAAAAGAAAGCCCACAGAATGAGAGAAAATATTTACAAATCATATATCTGATTAGGGTGAAAATAACCTCAAAAATTAAAAAGACAAACTCCCAATTGAAAAATAGGCAAAAGATCTGAATAGATATTTCTTCAAAGAAGATATACAAATAGCCAATAAGCACATGAAAAGATGCTCATCACTAGTCATTAGGGAAATGGAAATTAAAACCACAATGAAATACCAGATTACACCCATTAGGACAGCTAAAATAGAAAAGACAGAAAATAGCAAATAGCAAATGTTGGTGAGGACATGGAGAATTAAATTTTCCTACATTGCTAGTGAGATTGTAAATGGTGTAGCTATTGTGGAAAAGAGTTTGGTAGTTCCTCAAAAAGTGAAACATATGACTCATCAATTTACTCCTAAATATATACCCAAGAGAACTGAGAATATATGTGCACACAAAAACTTATACATTCATTTTCATAGAAATATTATTTGTAATAGTAAAAAAGTAGAAACAACCCATATGTACATGAAATGAGGAATGGATAAACAAAATGTAGTGTATCAACACAATGGAATATTATTTGGCCAGAAAAAGGAATGAAATAATAGCACATTCTACAACATGGTTGAATCTTGAACAAATTATGCTAAGTAAAATAAGCCAGATGCAAAAGGCCACATATTGTATAATTCCATTTATATGAAATATCTAGAATAGGCAAACATGGAGACAGAAAGTAAATTAATGGTTGCCAGGAGCCAGTGGCCAGAGGAGGAGGGTCGAGAATGACTGCCAATGAATACAGGATTTTGTTTGGGAGTGATAAAAATGTTCCATAATCACATAGTGGTGATGGTTACATAACTCTGAATATACTAAAAAAACCACTGAATTTTACACTGTGAAAGGGTGCATTTTATGGAATCTGAATTGTATCATTTTTAAAAAGATTTAAAAAAATTGATTTCAGAGAGAGGAAGGGAGAGGGAGATAGAAACATCAATGATGAGAGTGAATAATCCATCAGCTGCCTCCTGCACACACTCTACTAGGGATTGAGCCTGCAATCTGGCTATGTGCCCCAACTGGGAATCGAACCATGACCTCCTGGTTCAATGGTTGATGCTAGGCCACTGAGCAACACCGGCTGGACTGAATTATATCTTAATACAACTGTTATTTTAAAAACAAGTGGATGAAAGATATAGCATTTTTAATAGTATAGGAATCTTAATGATTTAGCTTTGAAACACCATAGACTTACATAATCCACTACTAGCTCTTCTTCCTGATCTTCTCCTCTAAGTTTCCTCACGACTTTTTGGATGAAGTCTTCAAACTTGGTGGCCATATAGACATCTTCATTCTGTAACTGAAGCCCACCACATTTCTGTCTGATCTCTTCAACCAGCCTTAAAGTAAGAACCAGTTCGTGTTACTCACATTTATTAAAGGATTTAGGGGAGCTGTGTTTTTATAGTTGTCATTTCAAAGTAAAACATGTCACATGCCTATATATATCCTGTGAAGTCTTCTATGATAGCAATCAGAGAAATTGATAACACCAGAAGAAAAAAAATTAAAAAGCTGTGTGGAAGGACAATGGCAGTTCTTTATATGCTTAAAGAGAAAAGAAAGCAAGGCAAAAATATTTTAATTACTTGCAATACAAGCAAGATAATAAGGGGCTCATAAAATCAGTTCCTTTTTCTTTCAAATGTAGTCAAGGAGTAATAAAATAAAGGAAATTTCCTAACTGTAAAGATTATGAGAAACACAAGTCATATTTTTTTTTTGGCGGGGGGGAGGGAGCATTGCACTGTTTATTTCTATTAGTTATAATGTGTGCTTTTAACACATTATAGTCCCTGTAGAGTGGGTGCAGTCAATGGTGAAGTACAGGGGCAGGGAAAACTTCAGAGAAAAGCACAGCAAAATGCTAGTGTTCTGGAAGAACTGCAATAATAAATTAGAGATTAGGATGAGATAATAAGTAGTCAATATACCCATCTCTCTCAATAGTCTCTCTTGATGTTCTTCTCACCATCTTTTAATGTACATAAACATGTACACGTGATTATGCTAGGGTAAGGTGAGAGTAGGATACAGGTGTGACAACTCATCCAAGAGGTTTTTGAGCCTGAGTCTGAGATACAACTGTTAAATTGGCTTTGTGGAGAAGAAATCTATGAGGATGAGCTCAGAGGAATGGGAGAGGGAGAGGGAGAGGGAGAGGGATAGAGATTTTTGCCTCTTTCCTTTCCTCCCTCCTCCCCAGAGGCAAGGGAGCAGGAGGGGAGCACCGCTGGGGAGGAGGGAAGGAAGGAAGGGAGGCTCGAGGGAGCAGGAGGGGAGCGCCTCTCCACAAGTCATATTGTAGAATATTTCCTCTAGATTGCGTGTAAGAATAAAACAAACATTTGTTTGTATCACATGATTAATGTAGGTACTAATTAGAACCATAGTTCAATATAATATCTGAAATCTTTTCCAATCCTTTGATTTTTCACTGCTGATTTTTCAAAATACAGCTGTTACTTAACATTTCTTGAATAGCAATGGTGAACTAGATGCACTATAGAAAGCCTACCACAGCTGTTGTTCAGTCATTTATCCTCTAAAAGAGATGAGATGCCTTGGTAATTCAAGATAATAATATCAGATGATTATGGTAAGCCAGACACTCAAACAGGAAATGGGTAATTCCTGCAAGAGTATTTTGCTGGCAAAAAAAAAGTACTAAAAGTACAGGATTGAAATCTTTAGTTGAGCAAGTTAGAAATTTCTGGGAAGTCATGAGTCATAGCTGAGAAATCTGTAATTTGAGGAACCAAAACTCTTGACTTTTGATAAAAAGTCATTTCCTCTTGAGATGATTATTTTTGGTTATTGAACTACAAAAGCTTCATGAATGAAGGGATCTTGTCTTGTTGATGACTGTATCCCTAGTGCAAAAATTAAACAAACAAAAAACTGTTCCTGATATATAGTAAGTGTTCAATAGATGTTGTTAAATAAATGAATGAATAAATGAGCAAACAGAATATTTGTCAAGAACACACTCGCTGTGTTGACATGAAAGGTTGTGTCAAGAGGAGTGACATTGTTTACCTTATTTAGTTAGTGACTATTGTGTCAAAGAAAAAACACTTCTGAACCTGGCCGGCATGGCTTAGTGGTTGAGCGTCAACCTATGAACCAGGAGGTCACAGTTCAATTCCTGGTCAGGGCACATGCCCAAGTTGTGGGCTTGATCCCCAGAGTGGGGTTTGCAGGAGGCAGCTGATCAATGATTCTCTCTCATCATTGATATTTCTATCTTCCTCTCCCTCTCCCTTCCTCTCTGAAATCAATAAAAATAAAAACAACAATACCTCTGCAACTCTCCACTATTAGGATTTTGGTACACTCTTCGTTCCAAAGAGTGGGTTTCTAGGACTCTAACCTTTTCAACTTGCTGTAATCCTCTGTAGAGAAATTCTGACTATAGGTTGATGATCCTTATTCTCACAAGTAGCCTGGTAATCCTCATTCTAGATAGATCTTACTGGGCAATTTGGGAGGATATGAAAAAACTATTTTGGTGGGAAGTGTAATCAAGGTCAGGTATCCTTCTGGATCAAACTATGTAGGAATTCCCGATTAACATTTTCACCTGGAACATCCCAATTCCAATGTCAAATTAGAGGAAAATCAGCTAAGAAATATAAAGACACATTTTTAAAGAAAACAAACAATTAGAAGGGTTGCTTTTCTGGGTATATAGGAGATATGAAAATTACTTCTGGTTAACAACAAAGAGAAGGAAACAAATATATATATATATTTGACTATGGAAACAAACCAAACAAAAAAGATGAAGAGAAACATAGCAGCTAGGTAGGATAAAGTAATAACATCCAGAACAAAGGATTTAGATTTTATTTTCCAAGTCGCACTCAGAATCCCTAGTGGACAGGTGTGAATGAGTAAGGTGGTGGTTTTACCTGACAACATCCATTGAGCTTGCTCCAGATTTAAAGAAGTCTGTTGAGTCTTCAATAACAGGAATGTTGCTTAAAATTCCAGCCCAGATGACCTAGACAACAAGAATAACTTTTCTGAGGGCTCTACCAGGCAGAACACTGGCAGAGACTGGCTGGCTCCTCAGCAAACCGATTTCTTTTTCATCTTGGATACAGGGCTTGACTGCCTTCCTCAGCATCTCTTCAAGTTAGATGCAGCTGTAAGACTGCCATCCAGCCAATGAATCTGAGTAGAAGTGATCTGCACTCCAGTCTTGGCCCTTGAAAAACTTCCCTCACACAATTCTCTCTGCTCTTTTGCCCTTCTTGGCTGTCTGGAATGGAGGTGACCCCCAGGATGACCTTGGAGAGAGCAGAACCTCTGAGTCCCTGAATAAGTCAATCCCTAATCCTCAGGTTCCAGCTTTCCCCCTAATTCCGATGCCAACCTGAAACTTGCTTTGGATTATTTATGTGAATGAAAAATAAATCTGCATATAAATTTGGGGGTTGATTTCTTATTGTAGCTAATACAAAAGAAGGGGAGCCCTAACGGGTTTGGCTCAGTGGATAGAGCGTCGGCCTGCGGACTCAAGGGTCCCAGGTTCGATTCCGGTCAAGGGCATGTACCTTGGTTGCGGGCACATACCCAGTAGGGAGTGTGCAGGAGGCAGCTGATCGATGTTTCTCTCTCATCGATGTTTCTAACTCTCTATCCCTCTCCTTTCCTCTCTGTAAAAATCAATAAAATATATTAAAGACAAAAACAAAAGAAGAGGAAATAAACGTCCATCTCCACTACTTTGAGTCCCGATGGTACCAGGTACAAAAATGCTTCACTCTTCCCAGGTAGGAGAAATAGTGAGGACATCACATGCTCACCTTGATGGTCTCCGCCACCTTCATCTCTTCGGCTGTAAGTTCTACCACTGAGGTCTCACCCGCTGAAAAGTACTGAGAGGCAGGAATCATTTTCCCATCTTCAAACTGTAGATTTCTCACCATCAGCTACAAAATAGCAACAAAATAAGGAGGAGAATTGAGGGTTCGGGCAATTCAAAAGTGAGGTGGGTGGAAGAAGGAATCATATATTTAAGGAGTAGATTATTTGGCAAATGCAAACATATGGATGAAGAGGACTTGCCATTATGTGTAAAGGGACTGAAGCAGTATTTTAACAATGGCAGCCGACAGGAGACAGTTAAGTCTAGGAGTAGATACATCTCAAAAATGGATAATAAGTTCCTGAAAAATTGACATTTGATGTGGGAATTTGAACTAAAATCTACGATAACTACCACCACTGCCACCATGTGAACACTTCACATGCACATGTGTGTACGTGGATGCTTAGTATGCATATGCTGAAGTATCTTATTTAATCTCATAAGTCCTGATGGAGGCAGGTGCCATTATTAGCTCTATTTTATTGATGCGGAAATGAGGTAACTGAGGGTAAGTAATTTGCCCAATGCCACACAGCTAGTGAGTAACAGAGCTGTGGTTACAACCCCAGAACTAGCTGGACCCTAAAGCCTGCAATATTAATAGCTGATCTATCCTGCAAGCTAGCGGAGAATATCTGTCATGTGGCAAATTCCCTTTTGCTTTCTTCATGGGGAAGCTTCCCAAGAGCCCACTGAAGCCAGAGCCCACACTCCCAAGCACAGGGATGTGGGTGGGCACCTGCCTGGTGAGGCCGAGACAATGAGCATCTAAAAAAGGACCACACCCATCTCATTTGATCCTCCCAGACTCTGGCAGTGGGAAGGCAGACAGATGGGATTACTCTCTCTGTTTCATAAATGGGGAAACAGACCCAGAGGCGAGAAGCATCCTTCCCAAGACCAGTAGATGGCAGAGCAGGGGTTTCTATCCCGTTTTCTGACTAAATTTCATGCTCTTTCTACTGCATTGCAAAGCTGGCTGTTCAGGTCCTCGGGGCCATCCTGGGAGCCTTGTTCTCATCCAGGCACATCGAGGTGGCTCATCCCCAGAGAAAAATGGGCACAGGTATCTTGAGGCTCCCACATCTCACTGCAAAGCCAGATGACCTTGTGAAAGATATTCCCTTAATAGCTTGGGGTATAGAAGGAAACAAAAAGAAGGCGGGTGGGGAGTAATTTACAGGTGACCGTATCGAACACTCACTGCTTTTCCATCGTTACCAAAAAGAACAAGTCCATTTTTGGTAACAAGGCCAGGCTTCTTGGCACCTTTAATTTCCAGGGGTTCTCCAGGAGGCATGGAGCTATTCAGTAGTGAAGAGCCATAGAACGTGACCATCTAATAAAGAGATCAAACCCAGAGTGTGAAGTGGGGAAGTTGCACCTCTGAACGGGTGTGTGCAAACAGTACTCTCTGCAAAAATGCTGGAATTGTCACTCATGATAAAATCAGACATCCCCATGTGAGAGACTGTAACAAGCATCTGTAGAGATGACACAAAGCAAGAGATAGTCTGCAACTATAGGATTGAAGAGTTTCAAAAATGCCCCACACCCAGACAACATGAGTATACATTTGTCATTTATTCACATTGATACAAAGGTGAATGAGATGAGAAGCTCTCACAGACTTTGCAGGCTGGAGGTAGGGTTTTTGAAGGGAATGGAGGTGTTGGGGGGGGGGGGCGGTGTGTATTCCAATGTATTGTGATGATTGATGGGAAGTACAGGGTGCTTTGTGGGTAGTTCATGGAAATAGGACTGGATCTAGACCAGTGGTTCTCAACCTTCCTAATGCCGTGACCCTTTAATACAGTTCCTCATGTTGTGGTGACCCCCAACCATAAAATTATTTTCGTTGCTACTTCATAACTGTAATTTTGCTACTGTTATGAATCGTAATGTAAATATCTGATATGCAGGATGTATTTTCATTGTTACAAATTGAACATAATTAAAGCATAGTGATTAATCATAAAAACAATATGTAATTATATATGTGTTTTCCGATGGTCTTAGGCAACCCCTGTGAAAGGGTCGTTCGACCCCCAAAGGGGTCGCGACCCACAGGTTGAGAACCGCTGATCTAGACCATAACCAGGAGACCTTGTTATTAACTGATTTGTTATTATAATTCTATTACTATCCTCTGTCATTTATTGAGGACAATAAAGTTAACATTTGCTGAATACTTTTGGCAGGGACCAAGCACTTAAATGAATGAACATGTGTTAACTCATTTAATCTTCACATAACCCATAACTCATAAAGGAGGCACTATTATTCCATTTTACAATAAGGAAACCCAGGCACTCAAAGGTTAAGTAACCTGCCCCAGGTTCCATAGCACATAGTGCAGAGCCACAATTTTAACTGAAACATTCCAGCTCCAGATCCCACACTCACTGCACTAAACTTCCTCCCTTGGTCCTTCATTGATCCCACATATTTTTATTTTACTATTATTTTTTAAATATATATTTTTATTGATTTCAGAGAGGAAGGGAGAGAGAGAAAGAGAGAAACATCAATGATGAGAGAATCATTGATCGGCTGTCTCCCCCTGGAGATGGAGCCGGCAACCTGGGCATGTGCCCTGACCGGGAATTGAACCGTGACCTTCTGGTTCATAGCTCGATGCTCAACCACTGAGCCGCGCCAGCTGGACATGATCCCACATATTTTTATTGGCACCTCATATGATTCCGAACCCTGCTTCGGTGCTGAGATTACCAAGACAACAACTTGAAGCCCTTACCCCTAAACGGTTCATAGTCTAGTGGAGGAGAAGGGCTAGGTAAATAAAGAGACACAATATATAATGTGCTGTGTCAGAGGTAGGCAGGGTATTGTTGAAATAGAGAGAATGGACCCTCAACCTCAACAGGCTGGACTCGTGAGTAGGTCAGGAAACTTCTTAGAAGAGGTGAAACCTGAGAACTTGAGCTGAGATTCCCTGGTTGAGGAGGCCTTTCCTGCTTCTTCCCCCACCCTCCCCCCATCTCTCCCTTGCCTCTCACACCTGCTGCCCACACCTGAGGCTCCGGCTTCATTGTGACTTTGGGGTAATACATTCTTCTGTCCCCGGGTCTTCATCTTTTTTTCTTATTCTCTACCTGTGACCTTTTCTCAATGTGCAGTCAAATAAGTTAGCTTTTCCAGGAAGCCTTTCCTACCACACCTGAATCTGGGCCTCAGGGATGTATAGCATTTATCCTACTGCATTTATTCACTTCTCTGCCTTTCCCATAAAACCGCAGGCTCTGTGAGAGCAGGGGTTGTGCCTACTGTCTGCTCCACAGCAGATGCTCTCTGTGGGCTGAGTCACATATACCTAGAATCACAGACCCTTCTCATGACCAAGGGAAGACCTGAGGAAGCCTAGACTTATGTGTAATACCTCTTACAATGGTAACATGAAAAAAAAAAAAACAAAAAAAACGTGGTCCCTACTCCATGCATCTTTGGACACTTGTCAACTGTGGCCGTCTCCCTTCCTAGCCGTGGAAGAGCATTTTCTTGTTTATTGGCAAAGCTGTCACATAACTGGTATCAGATTCTGACTTGCACAAGTAACATTCTTCACTTTTAAAACCCTGGAGGGTGCTGGGTTATTGCGCAAAGGTCTATTTTTCAAATGTTTCTGCGAAGTTGAACTAATTATTGCAATGGGTACAGGGTGCTTTGAGGGTGAGTTCATGGAAATAGGACTGGATCTAGACTGTAACCAAGAGAACTCGTTATTAACTGATTTGTTATTATAATTCTACTAGAGGCCCATTGCACGAAGAGATTCGTGCAATAGGCCTTCCTTCCCCTGGCTGCCAGCACCGGTTTTCCTCTGGCACCCGGGAAATGATGTTATGGGAACAAAATAATGTTCTGGAAACGGTAGGAAAAATATTTCCAATATAGGCCTTGTTAACATAAGAAACATTCAAACCTGTTTTAAAAAAAAAAGTGGTCCCTAGAACATACCTGTCCATTTATCTCTGTCCAAGCACCAGGGACTTTATCATGGCCTCGGATCCAGTTATGTAAAACTTCAGCAGACTGATCCCAAGAAATCTAGGAAAGCACAAAGCACAGGTTGAACCTCTTGATGGTGACAGCGTCAAAGGCAACGGAAACACTTCCGTCCCTCAGAAGTAGAAGTGGGAGTGGTTGGGCTGGCTGGCTTGGAGATCTGCCTTTGGGCAGCACTGGGAACCACTCAAAGTTTGAGGGTCATGAATTTTGAAATGTGCTATTGAGTTGGTATAAATACCTCAGCATTTTCCTTTTTCTGGATACCTTCATAGGTTGCCCCTTCTTCTGGCTGGGGAATCCGAGGAGCTTTTCCATCGGCTATGAGTTGAACAGCTTCCACCTAAAGCCAGAAACGTTACCTGTGTTACAGCCCAATGGGCAACAACAGGATGACCTGTTTAACTGAAGTTTTTGCTCTACAGAATTACTGCATATAAATCTGTCCAGAGAGTCAGACTATGATAATAACTAGCATTTCTTCAGATCTGTCTATGTGCCAGGCAGTGTGGTAGTTACTTCATGTGAAATACCCCTTGCAACTTCACTCCAATCCTGCAAGGTGGATATTATTATTCCTGTCTCACGGGTGAAGGAAACTGAGGCTTAGAAAAGCTAAGCAGCTAGCTCAAGATTACAGAGATGGCCTGTAGGTTGTCAGAAGAAAGATCTGCATCCAAGTCTATCTACTGCCAATATCAAGTCTGTACTTCCTTCTTTAAACAAATTTCAACCTCCCCTGGGCGATTCAATGGAAATTCCAGGTATATTATTGTAAAATAAGTCATGATGGGTTATTTCGTCTCATCATGATGATTCCAGACAGTGATACATTGCTATATGGAAGTCATTCAACTTGCTTTCTAGCTTAGGACACCTGGAAGTTTAAAAAGTTAACATCTACCCATGAGTTGGATTGCGTTTGGGATGTGTCCTACTTTCTCTTCCATGTTATATTTATATTTATGTTTGACTGGAGTTGAGAGCCTCTCTCCTTCACTGGGAGGCCTATGTGAGCTCAAGTTCTCAGATTTCTCTCTAAGCACTCAGAGCTGTTGACCAACCTCCCCAAGAGCACATGGAGCAAACCACCGGGGAAAAAGGACAAGTTACAGCTCATTCATTCTACCCACTTCTGGCTATCATATCACCTGGGTTTGGGTACCAGAGCCAGATTGGAAAAAATGCCACTGAACACATATAATACTATTTTGATTGTATTATGTAATTATCATTTTTGAGCACCTATTGTATGCCAGGTGCTTTACACAAATGCCATTTAATTTTCACAACAACTATCCATCAGGTAGTATTATCTAGATTTTATAGATAAGGAAACCAAGGCTAAAGAGTCTAAGTGACCTGCCCATTGTCATACAATAAATAAGTGATAGAATGAGAACTTTGGTGTCAGTAAATCATTAAATGATACAAACAGAATACTGCTCTCCTCCCTCTGAAATCAAAGGCTGCTGCTGTATATCATCTTACTGTCCATCTCTGTGTTGCTACTTCTACCATATCAAACTCGGAAAACATTAAATAACAATAAAACTTATCTTTCAATACTTTTACAGGTTTATATAGTTTTACTTTGTGGGGTACATGCTCTGAGCACATCTGAACAAATAGAGCAACACCAAATTTCACCCCATTATATAGACTGATTTCAAATACTTTTACAGGAAGTCCAAATTACATAGCACAATTTCTTAAGATTCTCTGTACTTCTTTACAATTAGTGTTATAAGCAGGGTTGGAGATTCAAGTAATTGGCAAAATAATTGAAACAGTTTGATTGCTAGTCATCCACTTGATCATTGCCCTCAGAAGATCAAATCAGCTTCATTGACTAGAAATTTTAAAGTTCAGATATCCACCCTAAATACACTATCCTACTGGTAAATGTAAAAGTTCATTTTATTTGGATTTACATTTTTAGTAAAAATTCCTAAAAGAAAAATATCTTCAAAACTCTAAAGGTTTACTAAATTCTTCTTGATGGCATAAATGTACTGACCATGGCTTTGATTCCTTCAGGAAAAAGAAATCGATTATATAGTGCATCCACTGTATCATTGGGTTCAACATCACATGACCTCTGAAGAAGGATGGGTCCTGTGTCTAAACCATCATCAGCCCAGAATACAGAAAATCCAGCTTTCTTATCTCCCATAATTAGAGTCCTGTGAAAATAAAGAGTTTCAACTTAAAAGTTTGGTTAACTGTACCATAAAATGATGAATTAGTGATAGTAAAGCACAAGGTAGTTACAATGGAGAGTTGATTGTGAATGAAGCTACTGTGAGATTTTTTTTAAAAAAAAATAAGTTTTGATTGATATCAGAGAGTAAGGGAGAGGGAGAGAGAGATAGAAACATTAATGATGAGAGAGAATTCACTGATCGGCTGCCTCCTGTACACCCCACACTGGGGATGATCGAGCCCGCAACCCGGGCATGAGCCCTGATCGGGAATTGAACCGTGACCTCCTGGTTCCTAGCTCAACGCTCAACCACTAAGCCATACCACTGGGCTGTGAGAAATTAATAATAGAGCTGGGAAATGTCACCACTTATAAAAAGCAATAGTTAATGGTACTGCTATTTTATACATCCATACATCTCTAGTCTTGTTAACACATACTAATGACTTACAGTCTACTGGAAAAGGCATTAGAGTCCATCATTACTACCACTCACTGACTACCTGGTGTCAGCTTCCTACAGCAGCATCAAGTAATTTTACCCACCTGGGTTCAATTCTTACCTCATATTTGACCCTGTATTAGGCAGAACAAGACAATGGGAGATAAAACTAAGGATGCTTAGTGCAATGTGAAGAGGAGAACTGATTGTTAATTTAAGTTGTGCAATTCAGGAATAAGCATCATTTAGAGCTAGAAGTCTGCATAAATTCTAGTAAAAGATAGTTGATTAATTCAACTAGCATTTGTATTTTGGGCTCTATAAAGCTTAGCCTAAGAGAAAAAGCCCTACCTATGGGACATAATACATATGAACTGGGTATGTGGACAAATAAAATCACATTAGAGAGCAGGCTAATGAAGTAGTAGATCAGCCATGTCCACGATCAAAATAATTTTTACTTCTCTGAGCAATTAATCAAGCCAGACCTAAATAAATCAACCAATCAATCACTCTTTTCAGAAATGTTGTGGAATTAATTGGCTTTATGTTACCAAGATCCTTGAAAATATTCATATACTTTGACCCAATGATTCTGCGTGTAGAAGCAATGTGAAATGAAAAAAAACACACCACAAGTTTAAGTACACAGATATGCATTACAGTACTATTTAAAGAGCAAAAAGAAATCAATTTATGTAATCAGATTTTAAATACAATGAATGAAATGTTCATCACACTTAAGCTAAGTATAGATTTTCTGTCTATTCAATAATCTGACGCTGAGAGATATCTGGGAGATGTACAGGTAAAGGAAAGAAGGTAGAGAAAGTGGGCAAGGCCCACAACATGATGTACCTATGGCAGTGGTCGGCAAACTGCGGCTCGCGAGCCACATGTGGCTCTTTGGCCCCTTGAGTGTGTCTCTTCCACAAAATACTGACTTCTGCGCATGGGCCACGAAGTGTTTTTTTTTAGTTTCTT